CTGTAGGAGGTGATGGGCACTCCAGCGTCCCTCTCTGAGAGGAACAGTGCCTTTCACGCTCATTTCTCGGGGGCCTCACAGTCGGATGGTGGCCTCCAACTTCTTTCGTCTCTTGAGCTGAACCGGTTCAGTTTATGTAACTGGTGATGGGGCGTTTCAGGGGATCACTGCACCAGATCCAGCCCTCGCCGACCCCACGGGTAACTCACTTCCTGAGCCGGTCGGTCCCCATCAGCAGGCGCCCTTGGTGGAGGGAGGGGTGCAGCTCCACTCTCCTGAAAGCCGGCTGGCTTCCCAGCCCCGAGCTAAGGGCACCTCCTCCCCTAGGCCACCAGGGGTCCTCACCGCCCCGCAGGGCTCTGTCCCTTTGCCAGGCCTCTCGGTAATCACGGCTTTGCCAGGTTCCGAACACCTGCCTCACCAGTTCTTCCTCTTCAGCTGTGACTTAGCACCCGTGACCTTTATTTTTTATTTACTAATTTGAGAGAGATCAACTTGTTGTTCCACTTATACATTCATTGGTCAACTCTTGTATGTGCCCTGACGGGGGACCGGACCCACAACCTTGGTGTATCCGGACGATGCTCTGACCAACTGAGCTGCCCGGCCAGGGCCGTGACCTTTACTCTTCCACACACGTTTCGGAAGGACCTGGTCACGTTTCTGAAACACGTCCAGCGGGAATGCTGAGGCTGCCTTGACCGAACGCTGACTTGGGGAAAGCTGGGGTGTGCGGTGGTCATAGGGCAGCCCTCTGTTTACTTAGACCCTTTATACCCTGTGCAGGGGTGAAAACTCTCTGTGGATCCTTAGGCTATGTCCTGGGCGCGGTTTCCTGTGCTGCACTGCGGTCGGCTGTTCTGGAGGAACACTGCTGACCTCCACGCGGCCTCAGAGTGCTCACCTGGGCACTGGCAGGTGCGGGGCTGCCCCTGGGACACACGGAGCAGTCAGCACACACTGGGGGGCTGAGTGTCTGTGGTGCCACACGCTCCAGGAAACGCCAGCAGGTGGTGTCCCCCCACCAAATGGGGGAAGCAACAGAACTCGGTGTGGGGGGTGCGAGGTCCGGGGCAGAGCTGGGGCCTGGATCCTGAATCCTGCAGCTTTGCCACCACCAGGGGGCAGCCACCCTGAATGCTGTCCTCACTCCCAGAGCAGGCAGGCTGGGCACGGGGTGGGCACCAGGGCACAGTGGTGGGCACCAGGGCACAGTGGTGAGCAGAGGTCCTTGACACCTGCACAGGGGCTCGCATCCCGTGGAGACCCTGGAGCCCAGCCCTCCCTCCGTGTCCCCTCCCCAGGCCCCTGGCGTGGCAACAGAGCAGTGGACGGCCGGCTGGTGAAGCTGTGGGGGGAGGGGCCCACCGCCAACTGGGCGTCCTGCAGGGGACAGCTCTGTGCTGTCCTCCATTCTCAACCCCACACCTGTAGTAGGATGTGGTTTGGGGGACACTCCAGGGGAGGAGCCACCAAGGTTTCCAGCTGTGGGGGCCACTAGCTGGGTCCTCTCCAACTGGACGAGGCTGTGTCGCATTTTGGTGGCATTTCAGCTGTGTGGCGATGAGCCGCCTCGGACAGCGATGAAGGGAAGTTTCAAGTAACCGAGTTTCACGGGATCTCCAAGCACAAAAGTCAGCCCTGTGCAGGCCACACCCCTGGGCAGCTTGGCCTCCCAGACTCTGGTCTCTGAGGTCATCAGAGCACCCCCCCCATCAATCAGTCTCCAGTAGCTCTGACGGCTGCCCAGCTGCACCGAGTCCCCTACAGAAGGGCCCCACCTGGTCTCCCACCACCCCAGACACACCTCTGGATCACTGCTGAGGTACCTCCCATCCTGGGACACCTGTCCACCGTGATGCCAGCCCAACACATCACTGCCTGCGGGACCCCAACTGCTGCCAACCTGCCATTGGTGGTGAGGGTCTTGCGGAGGTGTGCCTGTCTCCCTCCTCACTCAATGCCTGGGGGCTCTGCCTGGGCCTCCATGCTCACGCTGTCTTCCTGGAGGAGGCGGCCACATGCCCTCAGCACAAGTGACGACAGGGAGCCTGAGCAAGGCCTTAGTGCCTGAGCGCTGGGAACGCTCCCCTCTCAATGCAGTGCTCCCAGGGTGCTCTCTGCAGGTCTTGAGGGCGACACTGTGTTTTGGGTGTTTCCATAGTTCAGACAACAGTGACTTCTGCTTCCCAGGCGGGGACCGTGCTGCCTACGTGGAGTCTGACCCCTGGAAGGAAGCCACGCGAGCCATGTCCATGGCAGGTGCCTGTTCTACTCCAAGGAGAGTAGGTACAGACCAGGTCAGATCCCCAAACGAGGTCTCCCCAGTCCCTGGGCTCCTGCTCTGCTGGGCAGGGTGGCTGTACATCTCTAGCCACAGCTGCTGGTGGGAGGAGAGGGGCCAGTGCACCGGGCTCCCCGCAGGGCCCAGGCTCAGGACCACTGAGGAGGGCTGGACAGGTGCCCTCTTCATGGTGTCGTTTTTACCAGGGGAACGTTTGTCTATGGGAGCTGTGCAGGGAGGGGTGACACCAACTGTCATCACTGCAGGACTGGACAGAATGGCCGAGGCAGCCCAGGAACAGGACCAAGGCCCAGGGCTCACTTTTTTTTTTAATATGTTTTTATTGATTTGAGAGAAAGAGAGAGAGGGAGATAGAAACATTGATGACAGAGATGCTGATTAACATCAACATTAATTGGCTGCCTCCTGCACACCCCCTGCTGGGGAAGCAGCCTGCAACCTGGGCATGTGCCCTGACTGGGAATCGAACCGGTGACCTCCTGGTACAGGGACGACACTCAATCCCGTGAGCTACGCCTGCCCGGCCGGGAGGTCACTCCTGCAGGTGCCGCAGCTCGGGCGGCAGGTCGCACCCTGTGTACACACCGTTTGTGATGCTGTATTCCAGCAAAGCACCGAAGCAGGGGTCCTGTGGGGACACCAGGAGCCAGGCCTCAGAGCTGGGCAGGGTGGACAGCCACCCGGCCACTGCAGCCCAGGCCCTCCCTCCTCGGTGACTCTGGCCCACGGGGTGGCAGCTCACTCTGACCAAGACGTAGGGGTTGCCCAGCACAATCAGCAAGGCCTTGGGTCTGGTGATGGCGACGTTAAATCTTTTTGAGTTGGACAAGAAACCCAAAAAATATCTATCATCCTCAAACCGATCTTCATTTGACCGAACCTAAAACACAACGTAAAGAAACATGACACTTCAGACCAGCCAGCGTGGCTCAGCGGCTGAGCATCAATCTGGGATCCAGGAGATTGAGGTTCGGTTCCCAGTCAGGGCACATGCCTGCGTTTCTGGCTGGAGATCCAGTAGGGGGCGTGCAGGAGGCAGCTGGTCATTGACTCTCTCTCATTGGTGTTTCTCTCTCTCCCCCTCTCCCTTCCTCTCTTTGAAATCAGTAAAGACATTTAAAAAAACAAAAACAAAAAAGAAACATGGCACTTCAAGTGTTTCTGGCACAAACTCTCTCAACATATAAAAGCTTTTAGAAATACAAATCATCAGTAGGACCTCATTTTTGGTTAAAAAAAAGCAGGCGGTGGGGGTGGCGGAGGAGCCTCACTGCCCTCTGTCTGCACAACAGGGGGCCCATCACTGTGGTGCTCTGGGTGCAGGGTGTGGGGTGACTCAAGGTAATGGGTGATTCAGGGTGTGGAGTGATTCAGGGCGTGGGGTGATTCAGGGCGTTGGGGTGACTCAGGGTGATGGAGTGACTCACAGTGTTTGTTGGGGTAACTCAGGATTTGAGGTGATTCTCTTTTTCTTCCTGAATGAATTTCCTAAGGCACCTACCAGGAGCCCCACTGAGCATGAGGATGAGAGTGGAGTCCTGAGAGTTACTCGTGGTCTCCCAGGGTGGCTGTCTGGAGGCCACCAGGCTGCGTGCGGGTGGGGCACCTGACCCCGTCCATGCTGTGCCTCCGTCACCTCTCCTCGGACCTGTCCCTACTGCCCCAGCGCACGCACCCCTCCCTCCTGGTCCCGTCTCTGCACTGTCTTCTCATCTTGGGTTGTGTGAGGACAGCTCCCCGCAGTTACGAGACCAGGCCGGGCGCTGGCCCATCTCCACCTGCACCTGGGTTGTTTCTACCTGAATGTGCCACAAGCCCCCTAGAGCTCGGGGGACCCCAGACACTGCTGTCCCACAGGAAGCGGGACACCTACAGTTGAGATGATGATAACCAAGTGCTCCTGTCCTTGGAACTCCTCCACCGAGCCAACCTTGATGTCCATCAGATCCACGTTCCTCAGCAGAACCTTTATTTTCTCCACCTTTGAAGCAGATGAAGGTCAAAGTTTTACAGACCTGACCGTCTCCTCACACCGCGCAGCCTGAGGGAGTGTGGGCCACGTGCAGCGCTGCTCTCAGTTCCCAGGCATGTCCCACCCACCCAAGTTGACTGGACCTGAATCCTGGTTTCAGAGCTAAACAGGAATTTTGGCAGGACATGAATGGCCAGTAAACACACAAAAAGATTCTCAAATCCCTGACAACTCCAGGGGAACCTGCCTCCCCCTCCCTCAGTCAGGGTGGCTACTGGGTGTGGGCGCGACGGTGTCTGCAGATGTGGGATGGAGATGACGGGGTGGCCAGCACAGGAGCACATGGAGGACGTGCCTCAGCAAGGGCACAGTGAGCACACAGGAGGTGACATCTTCATGCCAGGGACAGAGGAACAAACCGAGGCGGGGCTCACCCCACGTGCCCGGGCTCCCAGCCCCAGGACCCTGGGGTACAGAGGGCCAGTGGGAGTCCCACGGAGATGCCACGTGATGAGCTTGTTTCCCACTTCCTTGGTGGCCTCTGTGCACAAGGAAGTACAAAGCTCGCTGGCCCAGGGCGCACCTGCTTGCGGTAGGGTGTGATCACGCCGATGTCCTGCGCCGGCACCTGGCTGGAAAGGCTCCTGGCCAGGAGGCAGCTGTAGCGCATGACCTGGACAGCTTCGGCCGGGTTGAACCATGATGGGCTTCTCCCCTCACGCGCTTCGCTGCCCTGTGATGGTTGGGAGACAAGAGAAGCAGGTCGTCACAAGGCCTTGTTTACCAGCAAACGCTCGCTAGGGGCCCAGGAACAGGGAGCAGAGCAGGTGCAGAGAAGGGGCAGGGATGGCACAGGTGTGGCTGAGGAACTGGCACAACTGCAATGGGAGCCAGGAGCACGAGGGTGGGAGGAGTGTCATGTGGGGACAGGGACACACAAGAGGCGCATGTGCGGGGAGGGAACAGAGCCCGGAAACAAGCGGGAGCAGAACGCATGCCCCAGGTGGCAGCGGGCAGCTGTGGTCAGGCAGGAGGCCCCTTGGGCTGGGCCGGACCCTTCGCTTTGGCTGCCCCCCCCCCCCATGGAAGCAGGTGCCCTCTTTCCATCCAACCTGCAGAGAAGATACTCGGATGATCACGAGCACACGACCATCACTGTGCATCAGGAAATGCAAACCCTAACCGCCTCACACTGGCCAGGAAGGCCACGATGGAAGACACAGACCTGAGTGCCGGGGGGGAGGTGGGGAAACCGCACCCTGTGCGTGAGGCCAGAGCGTGAGGTGGTGCAGCTGCCGCGGGGAACCGTGTGCAGGCCCCTCAGGACAGTACGAAAAGAATTACCATGCGAGCCAGATGTTTGCCTCTTGGTATTTACCCAAGAGAACTGAACAAGGGACCCAGACGAGCACATGCCCCAGGCCTGCAGGGCATCCGCGGTGACGGGGGTGGACACACGTGGCCGGTCCACACAACAGCATCACTCAGCCTTAGAAAGGAGACTCACGGGCGACCACTCTGCTCAGTGACGCAGGCACAGAGGACAAGTCCCGAGAGGTCCCACTTCTCCGAGGCCCCCGGAGGGCTCAGAGCCACAGACACAGAAGCCACGCCAGGGGCTGCAGACGGGCAGGGGAGTGTTCAATGGGAGTTTCCATTGGGGAAGATGGCAAGTTCTAGAGACTGTTAGACAGAAACAATGTATTCAACACCATGAACTGTGCACTGAACTGGCTAACGCAGTAAATCCAGTAAATCCTAAGTGGTGTGTGTTTTACCACAACTAAAGACGTCACACCAGGCAGAGCAGTCAGAACGCGGCAGCTTTTGGGGCGTCTTCACTGTGGTGCTTTCTCCCCTGGATTTGCAATGAAAGGCTCAGTCACTAGGAGAGAGACCAGTCAGTGCACATCAGCCTCACAACCAGGCACGAGGGAAGATGGAGGGACAGCCCAGGGATGGGAGGTTCGACTGACATATCTCATTAAAACCACTCTCAAACTGGAGTAAATACAGAAACCAGCTGCTTCTAAGAAATGTGTCCTAAATGGGTGATAAAGGCCTAAAAACAGGGGGAGAAGGGATTTAAAGTAAAACACGGCACAGTGCAGGACACTACACACTGAGGAAGACAAACCGTCACTGTGTACACAGCACAGCACAGCAGCAAGTACAGGAAGCAAGACCTGGAGGCGTGATGAGAACGGGCGAGAAAGCGAGGACAGCGACGCTAGTGGGAAGGCCGAGCCGACGCGGGAGAGACAAGTATCAGACTCCACAGATAAGTTTTAAAAATGAATGTGGAACTTACATCCCTTGGTAGAGAATGAGTTACTTGTATGTCCTTGGAACATTTACCAAAACGGAGACCTATCTGGACACAGGCTTTATTATCGTCACTTTTTAACCCTCGCCCGAGGGTCTTTTTTCCATTGCTATTCAGAGAGTGGGGGGGAGAGAGAAACATCCATGTGAGAGACACCGACTGGTTGCCTTCCAGCTGGGGATCAAGCCTGCAACCGAGGTCTGTGCCCTTGGCCGGAATCGAACCTGGGACCCTTCAGTCTGAGGGCTGACGCGCTCACCACTGAGCCACACTGGCCAGGGCCTGGCCACAGGTGTCTAAAGGCTGAGTGGCTACAGGCCACAGTTCATCGTCAGAACCTAATAAAGTCAGGGATAAAGAGAGGCAACCCAGACACTCTCAGCCACTTGGAAGTTAAGAAAAATATGTCTTTACAACCCCTGGATCAAAAGGGGAAATAGAGCCACAGCGTCTAGTGAGCCATGAGAGACGTCGTCCTCAGCGGACACCGTGGGGCGGAGCTTCCCCAAGGACCTGCCTCACCTGTGAGGACGAGGAGAGGGCCTGAGTCCACCTCACGGGAATGAAAACAGACAGTAAGTAAAGGCAGTTAAGTTGGTAATAAGTTAGCACAATGGACCCTTAAGCTGGTTAATGACACAGAAACCTGTTGGGAGAAAACAGAACTCAGCGCACAGCGGGTTCCCAGGCAGACCAGAGTCGGCACATCCTAGGCTCTGCCGGGGCCGAGCCGGCCATGGAGCCGAAGCAGCCAGAGGAGCACCTGCAGGCCCTTCGGGATGCGGTGCCGCACCTCTGACCCAGGGGGCCCGTCGCAGTCACCGAGGCCGTTCGCCTGAGCTGAGCTACCTCCTGTTTGCCTCCAGCCAGCGACAGGATGCGACCGCAACTCACCCTCACGCCGTGGAAGATGAGCGGGAAGCCCTTCTTGGGCAGCTTCTCCCAGCCCAGCAAGGAGGCCACCACCTTGGGGTCCGCACAGACCTCGAGCTCCGTGTGGTAGAACAGCCTGGAGGGCAGGGCCAGCAGGGCTGCGTGGGACCTGTAGTTCTTCACGAGCTTTGTCACCTGCAGGACGAGCAGCACAGGTGAGGGCCACAGTTAGCAGTGCCCTAGTCCAAGGGGAGGGTGAGGCGGTCCCTCAACCCAGGCCTCCCATCTGCCTCCAGAGCAGGAAGAGATCTTGGTACCTCAGGGGAATTTTGAATAAAGGGTCCATTTTATTGGAGGAGGTGACCCTCAGGAAAACAAGAGCAGGAGGGACAATTCCGGGGGGTAGGGGGTGCTCTGCCCGCAGGGCTCACTGCAGCTCTGGGCCCTGTCAGCCACCCCGGCTGCGTGCAGGCCCGGGGCTCAGAGACAGCAGAAGGCAGACACTCCCCTCCCAGGAGAGGAGGCCAAGTTCACAGGTGGTTTCATCACGGGGCAGTTTCATGACGCCCGATGACCCCTCTGGAGGAGGTCCTCTGCCCGAAGCCCCGCCCCCACGTCCTCCCTACTCCGGGGGGGGGCGGTGATCTGCCTGGTCATGGCCACGCTCATCTGTCCCACGGTCATGTGCAGCTGCCTGCGCTGTGGGGACGCGCCCGGCTCGCCTTCACCAGGGCCCCACTGACCCTGGGCTCCAGCTCCAGCACTAGGGCCTAAAGTGCAGACTCCCAAGTGGTCTGGGGTTGGCTGGGAACCCAGTCTGCACTTGACCATCCTGTGGTCCCCTCGGGGGCTGCACAGAGTGGGGCTGAGCTCACCAGCAAAGGGTTGTAGGCACCACAAGCGCCAAAAGCATCTTCATCTCTCAGGTACACGGGCCGGGACATCAGTCTTTCCAACATGGACACGTTCAGCCCGTAGGCCATGGCCAGTCTGGACTTGATGACGGGGCCAAGCTGCATGGGGTCTCCCGCAAGGACAATCTGCGACACCAACAGGGACCCTCTGTGTAGGGAGACAGTCCACACGCAGCATCGGCCACAGCTGAGTGTGGGGAGGGGCGGCTGGAGTGCAGCCCCCAGGCCTGGACTTGAGGCCATGTCCCCGTTGGACTAGGCATGACCCCATCTGTCTCTGTGGCCTCCACACCTGGGAAGGAGGTGGGAGCTGGAGTGTGAGGGGAGGGGTGAAGCAGTTCAAAATGACCCCAGTCACTATCTCAGGCCAGTGCTCAACCTAGGACAGAGGGACTGGGGGTGGCAGAGTGGGAGCTCCTGGGCCGCTAGTCTTATACCCACAGCAGGTCTCAGTGGCTGTGGGAGGGGGAGAGGGAGGCAGCCCTTTCCTCCAGAGCCACTGTGGGAAACCAGGGTGACAATGACACAGGGTGACAGGCACAGCATGGGCCTCACCTGGCCACTGACATCTGAAACCAGCCCCAGAGGAATGAGGCACTCCGGCTCACTGGCCTGTCCAGCTTCATCCACAAACACGTGTGTGAAGTGTCCGACTCTAGAGCCAAAGATGTACATGGTCACTTCTGTCAGTGTCCCTGGGGGCTTGGTGGGAGGTACCCCGCAGCCTGTCAGGAATCTGAGTGAAGTCACAGCACCACCAGGCTCTGTGCCCAACAGGCCCCTTTGTTTAAGACTTAAGAGGGAAACAGGTGAGGGGACCAAACGGTGGGGAGGGGATGCCAGGGCCTCTGTGGTCCAGGCTGGGATGGCCACCCGCCTACCCGCGGCACTCACCGCACTCCGATCTGGTAGAAGAGCCCGGCACTGCTGCAGGTGCTGATGATTATGCGGAAGCGGGAGGCCCTCCAGATGTCCTCCCCATCTTTGCAGTATGTCTTTATGGCCTCGATGATCGTCTAGGGGGTTTGTTCTCACGTTACTGTCTTTAAATTGGACATAATCACAAAGCCGGAAGGGACCCTAAAAGGTAACTCTGTTCTGTTCCACTCCTCAGTTCTAAGGAACAAGTTGGTTGTTTTCCTGAAGTATTTATATATTTATACTTTCTCATTAATCTAGTCCGTTTTATGGATTCTGGAACCACGAATATAACGTGACTGTGCAACTCCTTCCCCGAAACAAGGTTACTCATTTCCTAGATTCGGTCTCTGCTCAATTAACACTTCATCCTACAAGTGAACAAGCCAAACCTACACCAGGACCAGGAGGGACCAGAGGGCCCACAGAAGGGAGGGGCAGCAGGAGCAGGCCCGGGGGGCTGCTCAGGAACAGGTTAGGCACCGGCCAGCGCCCCTGTGCTGTCAGAGACAGGGACACTCACCTCCTCGAACCTGCAGGTGGCGTTCACGCGGACCATGGTGCCTGGCCGCAGCAGGCGGCTCTCATGCAGTCGCAGGCACACAAGGTCGGCTGCGCTGTTGGAGGGCGCACACACCAAAATCCGACTGTCCGGCAGGGCGTGGTACACCTTCATCAGGGCACAGGGGACACGGGGGACAGTCAGCCTCGGGTCCAGTGTGGAGCAGTGACACCCACAGGCCATGAGAGCAGGTGATGGGCTCTGCACCCAGGACCCAAACCCGCCTGCCCACAGTAGGGCTCCACACAGGTTTGCTCATCTGAAGCGCGAGTGATACGGAACTACTATGCGCACAGACATCCACAAACTTAACGGTGACACAAATGGGGATGGCAGACGCCTGCAGAGCAGCTGCAGCTGTGTGAAGGGGGTGCCTTCTCTGCAGCACTACTCTGCGATGAGGCCAAGGGTTCACTATGCTGAAAACCAAGAGGTTCCCTTCTAAACCCGAAAAAAGGTTTTGCCTGACACAGTCCCCTAAACAACACAAAACAGACTCAGCTAAATAGGAGGAACTAGAACTTCTAAGCTCTGGTTCTAGGGTGTAAACACGCAGAACTCCTGATGCCAGGCACACATCACAGAGCTAAGTGCTCAGTAACCGCACTGCCTGCCGTCACCTGTAGCACAGCCTCTATTATGGTCACTGTCTTCCCTGTTCCAGGAGGTCCGAAGAGGACATATGGGAGGGGCCGGCAGTCGCCACTCAGAATCCTCCTCACAGCCAGCTGCTGGTTCTCATTGAGCAGCGGGTTGAAGAATTCCTTCTCTCTGGCCTCAGGGGTCTGCAGCTCCTCTCCTGGTTGAAGGGGGGAAACAGGGTCAGGCAGACATCGAACAATTTGGCAGCTGGGCTACAAACGCCTCAGCGCCTCAGCACTGGCGCTACGAGGCCACAGGACAACCAGCCAGTGGGGGGCTCCCACAGTGACAGGGGGACCGAGGCGCTGCCTCTCCCACCCCGAGCCAGCTGAGTAGCTGGGAAAGTCGACAGTCTGGGCAAACACTGGACAAACGTTCGCTGCCTCCCACCCTCACGGGAGCGTCACCCGAGACGCTCCAGACCCTGCCTTACGACGGCTGGCAAGAGCGGCCACGACCTCAAGTCTTCAGTCATGACGAGAGCACTCATTCATCTTCCCGGTCACACAACTGTCATGACCACAATCAACCCTGACAGTGAGTTTCTCGAGGGCCTAGTTCCCAGATGCAGTCATAGCTCCCACCATACACACCCAGGTGACTTGTCCTTGTAGCAAAGGCCGCCAGCCCTCGTGGGTCCTGGGCACCTGCCTGGCTTGTCCTGGTGGCAGGCTCAGGTTGGTCCTTTATAGCTTCCCTATTCTAGAAATAATCATGCAAAAAAAAGGCTTACAGAAAGCTGTGTTTGCATGGGCTCAGTTTAGACAGAACGTATCCTGAACAGCTCCCCGCACAACCGCAGGTCACACCTCTTTAAAAAAAGACAATACAGAATACCTGGTAAAAAGCTGCTACGCTTTTTTTCTGAGTTACCTTTTACACAAAAAACATAAACTTGTGATGGTGGCTCCAAAACAAAGGGTTTCACTTGAACTCAGTGAGTCTGCGCCTCCTGCTGAGCCTGCTCAGGGCGAGGGCCAGCCAGAGAGGCTGAAGGCAAGGCTAGTAGCCACAGGTCCCTGGGGACCCCCAGTAGGACCCTCTCCTCAGTGCAGGATGCCCTTGAAAGCCCAGGTGACAGCTCCTGAGTCTCGGCCCTTCCAGGTAAGCAAGTGCCGGAGCTGCTCTGTCAACTGCACTTGTGTCTGAGGTTCCACCTGCTGGACTGTGGGACACAGGGTCCCCTCTGCTCTCCAGTGTTCTGTCCCTCAGACGCCAGCACTGCTGAGTCCTCAAGTGAAAACAAGGGGGGCCTCTGCAGACCCCAAAAGTGCTCTTACCCTGTGACCTCCACCCACCTCTCCCTCTCCCGGGCTGGCAGCCTCTTTGAAGGTTGTGGACTGGCCACCATGGGGTCGACCTTGCTTGCTCCCTCTCAGGATTTGTGCCCTGTGAAATCTGATGCTTAGCGTCGGAAACCCGTTTTGTGTACTTTGTTTGGAAGGTCAACCAGTCCCTGTGAGTCCACCTTGCTCGACGTGCACAGTGCCCTCAGTTTACCTGCAACCCGGGCAATCCATAAAAGGACAGTGCTCTGCACTTAAAGTTTGCACACTGAGACCTGGCCCCTGCAGAGTGTGAGCACTTGAGCAGCAGCAGCACCACAGACCCTCTGAGACCAGGTGGGGGGTGGGGGTGGGGCAGGTGAGGACAGTGCGTCTGTGTCCTGTGAACAAAGATCCACTTGACACATAGCAGGGATCTGAGTGAAGATCCCTGCTGGCCTCTTACAGAGTTCCCTCCGGTGGTGCAGGCATTCAAAAACCATTACTTCTGCATTTCTCAAGATGAGGCTCAACATGGTAAAAGGGTTTCTAAATACTAGATACAACTTAAGAATCTGCATTTTTTGTAAGTTTAAAACATGCTCACACAGCTAAACTGCACCAGCGCAGGCTTGAAGGATCCACGCCCACTGTGTGGTGGAGGGTTTCTCTGTCACTGGGCACACGACGCAGAACAAAACCACTCCTAGTTTGGTATTGAAAACACATGGAGAGCCTCGGATGGAGCTTGGCATGGGATGGGCACTACCTCACTACTTATGGAGACTAGATTGTTCAAGTAAAAAATAAGCTATTTTCACGACTTATACAATACAGATGTTGACCACTTACAGGGTGCAAATCCTCAGTTTTCTAAGCACAAATCATCACGCAAATGGCCTGTCTGAAGGTACACGAACCACATACACGCTGTTAAAACAGAGCCACTAGCTTGCACTCCGTCGCATGGTATTCCAGCTTTATCCTGACTGTGGTCTGGTCACAGGTGACCCCATACCCAATAACCTGGGCACCCATGCAGACTCTCAGACACGCTGTGAGGCACGCACCTTGGCGGGCGGCTGCTCATCGTGCTTGGTGTNGCCCAGCCAACCTGGGCACCCATGCAGACTCTCAGACACGCTGTGAGGCACGCACCTTGGCGGGCGGCTGCTCATCGTGCTTGGTGTCTTGTGCACAGTTCCAACTGCCTGTCACTTGGGGAGACTGTAAGATGATTTCTTCTGGAAACAACACTTTTAAAACAAGAAGGGGTAACAGGGTAGATGCTGCTGAAAAGCATGAAAAAGATGAGTAAAAGCAACCTGAATGTTTGCAGCAGCCCTGAGTAACCCATGTCTGTGGGCCCTCTCCCCTCAGTCCTATGGGCCATGAACTGAGTCAGCCACAGCCATGCCCAGGCCACGCCCAGCCCAGCTCGAGCTCTGGAACAAAAGCCGTGATCTGCCTACTTGTAGGTGCAAAAGGAATTCTGTTAAGAGGGGAAAGCAGAGGGCAATGGCTTTACTTTCAGTAATTTAAGGGTGCTATTTTTACACAGTTGAATATTAAGAAAATAGGGAAACTTCCCAATAGAAAGAAAAACACTGAACATCACAGAGTTCTACTTTTAATAGGTGATTGAGGAGACTGTGTTTATGCAAATTTTACAGGAAGCTCATAAAAACACTCTGGGAGGTGTACCACCATCACCCACAGCCATAGTACCTTTCACTCCTAAGTGGCTGACCTGTTCCAGTGCAAAGTGGCACCTCCTGCTCGTGGTCCTGTGGAGAGAGGACAACATCAAACAGCGAACACTGAGTTTAGAAACATTAAGGCCAGGATGGGTCATGGAGTCTGATACATGACATGAGTCAATATGCTAATGCAGCCTTTACAAAACACTACTGAAGAGACAGGCCTGGTCCCCAAGGTCCTCACAGGCGCCTGTGGCCAGGAGTCTGGGGGAAAGAGGGTGGTGTCATGATCTGTTTCACAGAAAAATCCCAGTGTCACAGGTACCAGGACAGCAGAGACGCCTTTCTTTCCAGGAATGTTTAATGTATAAAGTGGACGAGTAGAAAAAAGTAAGAACACAGTGTATGTAGTGTTAGGGGAACATTAACACCACTGTATCAACCAGAAAGTGATTCCAATAATGAAGAACCACTCCCTTGAATTCCCCTGAAAACAACTGTTAAAAAACACTGAGGCACATTAAAAATTTCAGTTTACTTGAGCAAAAACTGATCTGCACAGGGCAGCATCAAATCCTGCAGAGGAAAGCGCTTCAAGGACCAGCACAGAATGAGCTGTTACAGGCAGAGGGAGGGGACAGGGCGCTGTCCTGGGCAGGAAGCAGGGGTTACACAAGGTCGCCTCCTTCAGGGAACACTACGAGGCAGATGCCCGCACAGTGCTGACCCGGATCCCTGGCTGACCGGGAAACCCCATCTCTGGAGGAGCNCTGCCCACCGGGCAGATGCCCGCACAGTGCTGACCCGGATCCCTGGCTGACCGGGAAACCCCATCTCTGGAGGAGCCAACACTGTAATTAAGTTAGGTCTTGGTCTGGTGACGTGGGGCTCAGTACAGTGGCTCCATTGGGGGCCTGTTGTCTTGTTTTTCAACACAACAGAAAGAATAAAAAATGAAAAATAAAAACTCCACCTTCAATGAAACAAGATGCCCCAAACTCCAAAGCACAGGTGAAGAAGGGTGTGCAACGAAGTGTCTGGCCTCGAGCCAGCAGAGGCCCAAGAGCCTGGTCAAGCCTCTCAGAGCCTGGGACATACCACACTCCTGCCAAGTTCACACCTGGGCACCTGGAGGACCCGCCACAGTGCAAAATCCTGGAAGGGGTGTGTGAAGCAGGAAGAAACGCAGTGCATGGCTGGATGCCGCACCTGAGGGTCCTGGCACAAGCCTCCGGGCGGCCCCTCTGTCCCTTCAACGAAATCTTCAATGAGTGGCCTGGGATACAATAAACTCCAGGGTGAGAAAGACCAGAAAAGAGCCCTCCTAGGACTTAGAAAACCGACCCCAAGAAAGACAAAAAACTCAAAGCAGATGAACTACAAAGGAGCTGAGAGATGACCTGGTTTGTTCCTCCCAAGGAGAGCCGCTCACGCACCCGTGTAAGGGTGATCCATGCTGCCTGACCTCTTCTGGAAAAAAAGGGGAGCCTCCAAAAACAGGGCCAAGCCAACGGGTAATCCATCAACCTGCAGATCAGCCCTTACCTCCAACAGCCTGAAAAACACCAGAGGAAGAATTCACCAACATAAAAACACACCACGTTTCTCATTCTGGGCACAAGGAAGGTTTCATATGAAGTTATCCAGCTGAAATGCTTCAACTTATCAATAGGCTGGAGAAAAAATAACATCTCCAGAAATGCCAGAAAGACAGTGAATGTAACAGCTTAAAACAGAGACTGCCAGAGAATTCCTTAATGACTAAATCTAAGGACACCAAGAACCAAGTGCTAAAATACTAGCAGTACCTGCATTCAAATTCGTACAAGACAAAGACACCAAGAGGTGTGAAACCACGAGACCAGATGAAAGAGCAGGAGTGGGAAAGAAGGACATCACAGGGAATAGAAAGGAGAGAGCAAGGGGCAGTCTCGGGGGAGCACAGGAAAGACTCCATTCTCCCCATGTCTCACATCACCACACCCAGGTGTGAGCACGTCCACAGCTTCACCGAGACAGCTGAAACCCGGGAACCTAGATGTCCAGCAGCAGAGGAGGGGAAGCATCCCTCAGAGGGTAGTGCCTAAGAGATAGGAAGAAAGGCCTCGAGTCAAGGACCATGTCCACCTGGGAAGCAGAAGAGCAGATAGAGCCCAAAGCAAGCAGAAGACAGAAATTATACAGATCAGAGAAAAAACCAGCGAAACAAACACGCTGAAGACCAATGAGCCAAAAGTCAATCCTCTGATTAGGTCAGTAAAACTGACAAACCTCCAGCCAGACTAACGAGGAGGAAGAGAAGACACAAACCACCAGTATCAGAAAAGAGAGGTGTCACGAGTTCAGAGACTACAAATATGAAAGGAAATGAGGAAATGTTATGAATAATTCTGTGCAAATAGATAGACGACTTAGATGAAATGCACAGATTCCTTAAAAGGCATGTATGGCCAGTGCTCGCCCTACAAGAGACTGAGGACCCGAATGGTGCTTTATCGATGTTAGAACCTGATCCGTAGTCAGAGAGCTTCCCACAGAGAACACTCCAGACCCAGAGGCTTCACAGGCCAACCTGCCCGGTCCACACAAACTGTCCCCAAAGACGGAACAGGAGCTGACACTTGCCCACTCACTGTGAGGCCAGCATCACCTTGATGCCCAAATCAGAAAAACATAACTCAAGAAACTACAGGGCAATATACCTCAGGAACACAGATACAAAAGTTAATAAAATTTTAGCAAATCTAACAATATGTGCAAGACAATTACATCATAGTACGGGGGATTTACTCTAATCACATAATTGACCATCTTAATAGACTAACAGAAAAACCACGTGATCATCTCAACAGAGACAGGAAAAGCATGGAAAGAATCCCATGTCCAGTGCTGCCTAAAAACTCTAAGCAAACTAGGGATCCAGCTCCTCCAACGGACAGAGGGGCCCTGACAGCTCACTGTCTGCTACTGGGAACAGACAGGGACGCCACTCATCACCCATTTCCCACTGTTCTCCAAGCTCCAGCCCTGCAAATTAGTTTCTACCCAACCTCGCATCATTTTGTAAAAATTAACCCTAAATAGATCATAGGCCTAAACGTAAAACTTAGAGCCGAGGGATTTTGGAAGACGATACGCAGAAAGTCTTTGTGATCTTGCGTGAGGCAGGTTTAAGAGTGTCACTAATGGCATGAGACACGGAAGAAAAGGCTGATAAACCGAAGCTCTTAAAATTAAAAACTTCCGCTCTTCAAAAGGCATTAAAAGCAACAAAAACACAAGCCACAATGAAAGAAAATATTTGCAAAAAACACACCCGACAAAGGACTAGTTATACGAACTCAGCAGGCACCTGCAGGAAGCGGGTGATGAGAACTCACGTGCAGGACACCAGGACGCACGCGCAGGACGCCGAGACGCACGCACACGCACACACAGGCCGCGGAGCAGCCCGGCGGGAGCAGGCAGCGGAGCCCCGGCCGCCCTCCGGCAACACAGGTTCGGGCGCACCAGGGGCGCACCTGCAGGAGGCAGCCCCTCGGCGGG